CGTTTGAGTAAGAGGGAGTTACTTGTAAAAATCGTAGGACTGCATGAGTTTGACAACCTACTGTAGGTCCGGCTACTACTCCGTAACAGCAACCATGACTCGATCGATGCTGGCCATATCCTATTTGTCTCCACGTAGGATCCGGGAAGTCTTGTCATTGCGGGAGAGAACACGAAACGTTCCTTCGTAGGCGGCTGCCGGGGTTAACGCACCCGGTCGCAGCGCACAAACACATGTGTGCTCGGTTGCAGACGTCCGGACCCGGCGACTACACACGTCGGAATGCGACTCTGGATTCAGCCTGCCCGTGGCTGGACTGCACTCGTCTGCGAGTCACTTACCTATTACTCACATTCTACTCCTTCTGCATTTAATTAAATTATCCATAACACTCTGACCTTCCACGTCTTATCTTATTTAATAATTTATAACCGTTGTGATACGTTCATCTTCTATTATCCGGCTGAACTACTTCGTAGCCCACATGACCATCGCGCCAGGTAAACGGAGAGTTGTGCCAAACACCAGCTCGGTCGCGCTGCAATCCAGGTCCGACATCAGTGCCGAGCGGATTCCGAGGAGTAAAATATGCAGGTTGTCTTACCAGATTCCGGGGTCTTCTGCAGTTCGCAAGGCAGCCTTGGGGTGCCGATTAAATCTTTCCACCATACTATTAGCAGCGCGGTGGTAGGCTGTCGTCCGGATGCGCGTGTAACCAAGGAATTTGAAAAGGGTTTTGAAAAGGTCAGAATCGAACTGAACGCCGCGATCAGTGGTAACGATAGATGGCGCACCAAAAGTGGCGACCCAACGACTGACAAAGGCCTTGGCGGTGGTTTCTGTCTGTACGTTCGGCAAAGGGATGGTTTCGACCCAGCGGGTGTAGCGGACGACGCAAGTAAGGAAATGGGTAAAGCGATTAGATAGAGGCAAAGGGCCTACGACATCAATATGGACATGGCTGAATCGAGCGTTGGGGCGGACACATACCGCATCCAGTGTGGTAATCACAAGAAGGTCGTGAGCTTTGACCAGCTAAAAGCTGACCGTCAATCTCCCAGTCTTGGTCCGCACCTTTAGGCTGCAAGTTGCTCCCCCATTCCAACTTTTGGCAGCCGGTTACTAACTCTAGACATTGGACTTCGAAGGTCATTTTTCTGGATATTTGTTAGAGCCGATGTTGCAATCCTTGGTTCAGAATTCCTTGCCGAATTTGACCTTTTGGTTGACTGTCGTCCTGCCTTTCTTGTTTACCGCCTCACTGGTCTATCCATTCACGGCCTGTCTCCCTTTACGAACTCTTGCAATTCATTTGTCCTCGATACAGATATTACCTGTCCTTTCCGGGGGTTACTTCGAAAGTATCCTAACATTATTTGCTTTCAGTTTCGCATTGGCGATGTTCAGCATGGTGTTGTGCACCACATCCGCACCTCAGGCCCTCCTGTGTTCGCTCGGCCTCGACGACTTTCTCCGGCTTGTTTGCAGGCCGCGAAGGCGGAATTTGAACACATGTTGCAACTCGGCATTATCCGACCGTCTGAGAGTCCCTGGGCTTCCCCTCTTCACATGGTGCCCAAGGCCACATCCGGCGACTGGAGACCCTGTGGCGACTATCGTGCACACAACAATGCCACGGTTCCGGATCGGTATCCCTGCCCCATCTTCAGGATTTTACGGGAGCCCCCTTCGGCAAACCGATTTTCTCGAAGATAGACCTGGTACGCGCGTTTCATCAGATTCCGGTCGCCCCTGAGGAAGTTCCGAAGATTGCTGTTACCACCCCTTTCGGCCTATTCGAGTTCGTCTGCATGCCCTTTGGCTAACGCAATGCTGCCCAAACGTTTCAGAGGTTTATTGACCGTGTTTTACGAGGCTTGCCCTTTGTTTATGCCTACATCTCTGACCTCTTGGTGGCTAGTCAGGCTGCTGAAGAACATGTGGACCACCTAACCAAGATCTTCGACCGATATGAGAAATTTGGCGTTGTAGCGTCCGAGGTAGGGAAGCCAGGAAGACCTCGGTGAGCAGGAACGGGAATCAATGCTTCTCGGAAGATATTTCCTAAAAGGACGTCCATCTCATTAAAAGGCGAGGCGGATTTTCCAGGTAATTGATTCATAGCGTTTATTGGAAAATTTTCAACTAATCGTAAATACGTTGGAGAGAATAGTAGAGGAAAACAGAGCTTATCAAGCGTTGAACCGGGAGGTAGTCGTCCGTGGTGACTGCGCGGTGATTCAGCCTGAAAAACCGAAAACTGAAACCTAACAATCGCAGTTACGAGTAAAAAAGGTGGGCCGGGGTCGGTTTATTACAGCGTTATACTCAATCCCTCAAACTTTTTGTTTGGTGTGCCGTCGCTTCAATTTCTTGGCCATTTTGTCAGCTTGGAAGGTTTGCGCCCCCTCCAATCTAAGGTTGAGGCCATTCGCAATTTTTTTCCACCAACTTCCAAGCGTCAGTTACAACGTCTTATTGGCATGGTCAACTTTTACCGCCGGTTCCTTCCGCATTGTGCTGGCCTTATGCTTCCCCTCACCATTCGGCTCTCTGGTCCTGAGGACCCCCTTGAACATTCTGGTGACGAACTGACTCTTTTTGAGACAATCAAAGCCTCCTTATGCAGAAGCTACCCTACTCACACACCCCGCTCCCGAAGCTCAGCTGTCTTTGATGGTTGACGCTTCGAATATAGCTCTTGGCGCCGTCTTGCAGCAACATCTGGCCGATTCAACTCAGCCGTTAGCCTTCTCCAAGAAACTCTCGTCAGTTGAAACTAGATATAGCACCTTCGGCCGCGAACTTCTCGCCTTCTATCTCGTTGTCAAACATCTTCCTCACTTTTTAGAAGGACGGGACCTTACCATATTCACCGACCACAGGCCGTTGACGTTTAGCCCTGCAATCCCACTCTGACAAATATAATCCCATATAGATCGGTCATTTGGACTACACTTCTCAATTCACCACCGACATCCGCCACATTTATGGTACGAAGAATGAAGTGGCTGACTTTCTGTCTTCACCTTCTTTCTCCAGGGGATCGACCTTGGTTCTGTGGCGGTGGAGCAAAAACGAGTTGGCTGTCCTGGCGACGAAGCCATCACTGGTCCCCGGCTTGCGGACGTTACCCTCATCACCGGCACTGGCCACATCCTTTGCGATGTGTCGACTTTTTTTCCTCGTCCACTTGTGCCCCCTTCATGCGTTGAGCTGTGTTCCAAACTCTTCATGGACTCTCTCACCCTGAGCTTCGAGCCTCACCAAAGCTCCTCGCGGAAAGGTTCGTCTGGTCTGGCATGCATAAGGACGTCAAAGCTTGGGCCCGCTCCCGCCCGAGTTGTCAATGGAGCAACACGGCACAACATGGGACCCATTGGCAATTTCCCGGCCCTAGTATACAGTTCAGTCACATCCACCTGGACATCGTAGACCCCCTGTCTC